ATCCAACTCGCTCCACGAACGTCAATGAAGTGATCAAAGCTGTGAAGAAGGCGGAGGCAGGAAGCAGGGAAGGAAATCCAATGTCAAGCGAGATCTCAACTTCGAGAATTCCGCAAGACCATTCGGATCCTGGAGCGTGATGGAGGTGCAACATTGACCTCACGATCAAGACTCCAACCATGATGAAGGTTCAGTTCACATGATTGGTCGAACTGATGACTGACGAACATGGAGACATTGGACTTCCGAAGCCAACGCCAAGTTTCCAAACATCGCTCTCCAAACCAAGGTATCCTGGAGCAAGAAGTCCAGGAGGAGCGCGATTGTCCTGACCAAATTTGCTGGGTGCCGCGACCTGATTTTGCGTCCTGATTGCCATGGCTATTTGGATCGAGACAAGACTTGAGAGGGACACGGTGATCCCAAGTTTCTGTTTGGCCATTACCGTGTCGACGATGAAGAAGCGTTCCTTGCCGCCATCGAGGCTCTGGACAACGACGAAGAGCTCGATGAGGCCAACATTGAGACGGAGCCAGATGAGTCAACGCCTGGTACCAACGGTCTTGAAGAAGGCTGGGAGGACCGTGAGTTTGTGGGGCTGGCCAAGCAAGTCCAGGGAAGCCTCGGTACCCACAGTCTTCGAAGCTGCCTCCAACCTATGCGCTGAGTGTGGATACACAGGCCGAGAATGAGGCTCGTGGTCGCTGGAAGGGCGAGAAGAACGGCCATATTGTCCATGTCTAATTGGACTGGAACAGTTGCCGACCGATGCCAAGGTTGCGGGAACTCTCGCTGTTGGAGGCCCCGTCAAGTACTCGATCAAGATTGACAGCGGTGTGGATCATGGTTTCATTGGCGAGCATGTCTGTCCTTCCATTTGTGACTTCTTTGCCGACGACCCATCCAACAACCTTCCGATGGTACTTGGTCCGCTTGCTTTGGGCTGCGATGGACCTGGCTTGGAGCATATGATGCCGGCAGACATTCGCAACCGCATCCAGACTGAGTATGCCCAGCTTCGAACCACTTTGATGAGGATCCTGGGCCGACTACAACCCTGTGGCCAAGATTCCTCTGACAATCTACAAGGTAGCCAATGCATTGCACATTACTGAGTTGGCTCCCACCGCCCAGGTCCAAGTGGTGCTGAGCCCTTGGTTGGAGGTGCTCCTGGTGGTGTCAACATGGAACTAGCTCAACCAATTGCTTGTCTTCAACACAGGACCAGCAGGCAACGAGGAGGCCCAGCAGATTCTTGCACAGGACATCAGCTCCTGAGGGGCTATGTCTCACAACATTGCCATCGTGAACAAGAATATTGGGAGGTCAACCACTTCCAGTTGATGCGAGGGGTGGTGGCAATGGTGCTCCAAGGCTTCCTCTTCCTGGTGCGGCCGGTGGAGCTGGCGGTGGTGTGGTGCTGCGGGAGCTGGCGTCGGTGGCTGCGGGAGCTGGCGTCGGTGCTGCGGGAGCTGGCGGAGGACTTCCCAACATTCGGACCAACCGCCCATGGTGCATGCCTGTTGGGATGGAAGTGGCTGATGGCCTTCTTGTACTGTTCAAGAGTGGAAGATCTCTTTTGGGTGGGACGATCATTGGGACCAGGATTGGTCTTCCCATAGGCAAGGAAATTCATGAACCGGGCGACATCAGTGGGTGTAATGGCAAGGAGCTGGTCCTGAAGAACAAAAAATAAAGAAGAGCGACCATGGTGTGAGGGACGATGTTTGATCAGCGAAATGACAGATCAGCGAAATGACAGGTTTGGCGAAATGACAGGTTTGGCGAATGAGCGAACCAACGTACCTGTGTAAAGGTCCTCCTGCTACCATACGGTGTCTGCCGGCCATGCTTCCAAGACATAAACCTGGTGAGTGCCGGCCGGTATTGTTCGTCAAGGGACTTCCTCTTCCTCGCCATGGTCGCAAGTAGCAATGAGTAACAAAATAGCAAGGATAACAAAATAGCGATTATGCATAGCTTTCGCACTCCATCCAAATTTATGGAGAGATTGGGTGAAGATTGAACGACCGATCCGCCGTTGGATGCAGTCGTACCCATGATACAGGCGTTGGATAGGAGGGGATCTTCGAGAGTTTACCCTCTCTCAGCACTATGAGGGAGGTTCCGGGACTATAAGTCTTTGAGTTTCGCGGAACGTTTGCGTGTGACTGGGTTGTATTTTTGGCACGAGTGACAATGATACTTAGGGCAAAAGTTGTATTTTGGGGTTGCCGATGCAACTACCAATGCGATTCTGAGTAGTATCGGATACCCTCAAATGACTGGTTTTCCCCGGCAGAATACCCTCACCGAATGAATGGTATCACCAGTCCCCAATATACGATTACCAATACTTAGGCCTAAGTGGGGGTGAAATATGTACTAAGACTACTAGGTAAGTCCCACCAGCCCATACAACTCCCCTAAGACGGATACCCTCTATCATGTGACTACGGTTGTATATTAGTAATACGGTACTAGTACGAGTGTGGACTCGGTTGTTTGTCAAATTACAAAACGTATCTTAAAAGCGAGGAGTGTACTCGGCGACACTTCTCGCACGCTCCACCGCGCGATCCACCACGTACTTCCCCAGATCTTTCAAAGTTGGCTTCGGGTTGACACCATCTCCGAAAGGCTTCTCTCACCAGGATTCCTCACCACCATGATGTCTCTTCCTTTCATGGCATCATTCGCTTGTGTCACAAATAAGATTTGCTTCTGGGCTCACCTCTCCCCAAAAACTACAATCTAGCTACTAGCTAGAAGCCAGTATCTGTATTTGCCTCCCAGCAATTGATAGGTGCCTACATACCAGACACGATGAAGACCATCATTATCAGCCTCTTGGGCCTTTCGTCTTGCGTTTCGGGCTTTGTTTCTCAGCCAAGACCTATAATACCCAAAGTCGTTCTCTTCTCGACCGAAGAAGCCCGTGCCACTGAAGTGCCCTTGGTTGTTTCTGGGACCAATATCGAGTTGACGCCTGCCTTGGTAGATTATGTCAACAAGAGAATCGGTGGAAATTTGAACAAGTTGGGCAGCAATGGCGCCATTCGCGAATGTGATGTCCATTTGTCGGTCAACAAGAACCCCAAAGTGCGTATTATTGATTTGGTGGCATCCCCCACAAAATGGAAATCACCTCGGGTTTTGATTTGGATTTGGATTTGGATTTGGATTGGCGGGATATAGTTTTTGATTTTGGCTAACCAAGTCCATTGCTCCCTCGCCCCTCGCCCAACATACATCAGGTTAAAAATGCCCACAAAGTCGAAGTGACAACCAACTTGAAAGGAGTTACCATTCATTCCAGGACAGAAACGCCTGACATGTACGAGTCTATTGATGCTGTAGCTCATGCCCTGGTAAGTGCATGCGATTCCTGCTTCTGACTGGCTAGCTACTAGTAGTAGGGTCCGATAGTTGTCTTCTGGGAAGTAGTCTTACCCTTATCTTTTCCAATTGGAATTTCTCTTTCTCCCTCAAGAACCGCAAGTTGCGCAAATACAAGGAGCGCCGGCAACAGGGCTGGCACGGAGGCAGTAACATGGGGGATGATATCATGGCAATTTTGGAAGAGATGGAAGCCGAACAAAACTGGGACGAAACAGCGGGAGTGGATGACGATGAGTTTGAAGATCCCGACAAGCCCACAGTCATGTCCGTTAAGAGCTATGACCTGAACAAACCTACTTCGCTGGAAGAGGCCGTCTTTGCTTTGGACTACACTGACCACGACTTTTATGTCTTTCGAAACAAGGACACGGACGCTGTCAATGTCGTCTACAAACGCAATGCCGGTGGCATTGGCCACGTGGAACCTTGATCATTGTAGGCACCGAGGTTCAAACAAACAAACAAACAAACAAACAAACAGTTCAGTACATACAGTACCGGTAGTAGCTAAGGCGAGTTGTCTGCCTGAGCAGTCCTCTTACTTTAGTAAAACCTAGCCATGTTCAAAATGAGTACAACCCCTAGAGCTAGTAGTCTACAACAATTGTAGCTTCATGGTTTGTTGTGAGCTACTGACACTCCTATCGGTACTGTACGATGCCGCAACATTGTGTCCCAACCGGAGAACCTACTAGAGTACATGTAGACTAGCTAGTTAGCTATACTAGTATATTCGGAAGAGTTCTTGCGACGACAAACTGATACGGCTCTAGCTAGTAGCGTCTATGTTAGTAACAGACGCATTTACAAGTTTACTGACTACTCTAATAGAATGATGAATCTATGTAACAGAACCGAAACCGGGTTGCTGATCAAGAGGACTCAAACCTATATACATTTGGCTACATAATATTTCAGTTCCTACACACAAATAAATGTACTACTAGTACTGTATGAGACTACCTGTTTGCTGGACTGATCATGGCACCTGCTAGCCATCTTGAACCAATTACCAATCAGATGACTCTCCTCCTGCTCGATTCATTCAAGATGTACTAGCTAGAAGACACATGAATCCGTCCTTGCGACGTTTGCAGGCCATTACATGAAGTGTGGTGGTGGTTGCCAGCTACAAAGGTATACCGGTATAGATTTTATTTGGGTAGGAGGAGTAAGGAGATGGAATGAATAATGCGGGTGCGAATTGTCAAAAGGATGATGTAAATACTCCAAAAAGTTCTGTTGTATGATGACTGTTTGGTTTTGGGTTCATACGGTAGCAACCTGTATGTATGTACTGTATAGTAGTTCATTTCATTGATTTTCTTCTTACATTACAAACAGCAAAAGGGTAGAATGACAAGAAGAGGTAATAGGAGTGGTACCAGTATGAGAGAGGCACCACATGTGACGGAGCTTCCGAGCACCGCTGCCACAATGACCATAAAGATGGAAAAGGAAACAGCAAAGCAGCCTCCCGGTTGTCGCTGATGGCAGAATATGGTGGTGTGTCCCTTGGACGTGATGTTGTAGTCTGCCAATGTGCAATCTTCCTCCAGGGGCTTGCCGTTCCAAACCAGGAACATGTCTCTACTGGCCAGAACGAATGAGGTTCTGGTGGTTCTTCCATCCGATTTGCCGTCCAGTTCTGCCAGGCGTTTCTTGATGGACTTGATATCATCGGTGTGAAGATTGACCATCATGCAGAGAGTCTGTTTTGTTTTGTTGGTTTGGAGCCGCCAAGGAGAGAGAAAGGTGGAGTGGAAAAAGTCCAGCGTGAGCACCGAAACAACGTGCTGCTATGACAATAGCCAACGATGACAAACAAGTGGCGTACCTTTCCATGGACAAAGTTGAAAAAGACCGAGCATTCGTCCGTCTTTTGTTGCAGCAGCGAGCCACAAGGTCTTCTTTGTTGTGCAATGACGGCCATCTTGATCTGTCTTTGGTTTTCTATAGAATAATGCTCTCTTTGCTTATTGTAATGAGTGATGAGTGTTGCATCCGGTGCAATTCTGTGCGATCCTCCTTGACACTTGACACCGCCGGCCGTTTGATTGAGATTTCAAACTGAAGAGACGCCTGTGGAGCAGACCACAAAGTTGTTTAGCGGCTCTGCTAGCTAAAAGGATTATCAACGGTACCCAAAGGCATAATTGTTGGAGACACCGAGGCCGTTACTTGCTGATGCTGGCAAGAGCACCACATTCACGATGCCCTTGGATGACGAGAAAGAAGAAAAGACTGTCACTCAAACCGGATGTGTTGCCCTGGGTACCGCTATTATATTGCCAACTGTTTTAGTTAGGTATGCATGGAGAGGATTGAAACAACGAGGAACTGGCACTGCGATCAAGACAGAGTTCTACCGTAAAGGGCCTTTGAGTAATCTCTGAAGCCGAATCGAATTGTATCCATCATTTTGGTTCCGGGCTGGGCGATTGTTGGTCGCCCTTCGAACGAGTCACTCATCCCACGCAAAATTTGAGTTCGCGACGACCGGCCACGAGCCGCTGAGTATGGCATAGGCACAAGAAGGATTTTGAGTATTTAGTATTCAGGAACAACTGTGGTCCAACAGCAGCAATACAATGTCCGCATCCAGTCCACAACATCCTATTTTGACGTCAGAGGCAGTGGCTGCCTTGCCACCTCCCGGTAAGCACGTGACATGACAATGGTCTGGTTTCGTACTCTCTCACCTCTGGGCACCAAACTAATTCTTTTCTTTTGCTTCTATTTATATTTGTATTGACCAGGGTTGTCGGGGCCATCCTCACTGACATTTTCGCCTCGGTTCCAGCAACCCAATGGCCAGTATTTGGCATTTGTGGCCTCCGCTTCCATGATGCTGGCACATCAGCCTCGCCGAATGCAAGTTCAAAACTTGAGCTGGTCCTCTTCAACTACAACCGCAACAGCAACAACCAACAACTCATCATCTACGACACCAGCAACGTCTTCCTCGAGATCCAGTTCTTCTTCCGAAAGACAACTATTTGTTCTTGACATCGCATCGCTACTGGCACAGTCCAAGACTCCTGCTAGCCAAAACCGCATCACAGTACATCCTTTACTACGAACACCCTTTTCCACACCGACTAATTCAAGTTCAAGTGCTGCGAACACTGCAAAAAGAAGAATAGTACAGGATTCATCCAAGGCTAAAACTACAACTACCAATGGAGGCACTGTGACTAGCACCTCCATGTTGGCCTCTTCTTTTCCCAACCATGCATCCTTTCCTCAGCAGCAACAACAGCAACGAAAGCAAATGTCCTCTTCAGTTCCAATCAATCTGTCATCCTCCTCTCTCGTTCATTTCTCATGGTGCCGGTGGAGAAATAATGCCTCAGACGATACCTTTTCTTCAATACCACAAAGTCAACTACGACTCCTCGTCCCAATACGCGGCTCTCTGTACGTGCAGCATGGAATACTGGATCAGGCGGAACCCTTGCAGGTAGTATACGACAAAACACGACACAAACCGTCCCAACTACGAAACAACAACAACAACAACAACAACAATAACAACAATGCAGCAAACCAAAACTCCGCCGACGCAGAGGACCCTCAGTTAAGTCCTGACGGACGAATGGTCGCTTTTGTCGTTGCAGGAGAAATATACGTGGCTCCAACTACACCACCATCACAGGGCAGGGATGACCTCTGTGTACAAATTACCTTCGGTGCATCGGACACTATTGCACATGGCGTAGCAGACTTTATTGCACAGGAAGAAATGGATCGATATCGGGGATTCTGGTGGCATCCAGACTCCAACGGAATATTGTTTACCAAACTGGATGAAGCGAATGTTCCGCCCTACAGAATCTTGCATCAAGATGTTGGAAGTGGAGGGGCACAATCCACAGCAACAACTAACGCTACAAACCTGCCGAATTCAAATAATGACTCAACCGACGGGGATACTGGAAACAACAACACAAGCTCCCATTGTGGAAGCTACGAAGACCATCGATATCCTTTCGCGGGGAATGCCAATCCAACAGTAACCCTAGGATTTGTCAAGGTGAATTACCGGTCGTACTTTGATCCAACCTATATTAGTTCTTCCGAGGAGCAGCGAGAGCCTTCTGAAGGGACCAACCATCAGAACGATGTCGCTCGCGAGGCATGGCAATGGACCGTATGGTATGATTCTCCGCGGGAGGCGCCTGAATACTTGGCCCGAGTGCATTGGCTACCCGACGGATCCGCATGTGCGCAATGGCAAAATCGGACACAAAATACATTGGTCATGACAAGAATGAATGTCCATCATGGACAGAGAGCTAGAACGCTGCTTGTGGAAAGGACACAATATTGGATCAATCTGCACAACATGATGAAGACGTTGCCTCGGCCTATACATCCACACGAATGCAGTGGGGTTGTGGACAATATTCCTCCTCTTCCCAATCCACTTCCAGATGGATCGTTTTCCTTCTTCTTTGCATCAGAAAGGACTGGATATTGCCATCTCTACTTGTATACATACGCCCCTGGATTCAATGGAGATCAGGCTGTCTTGGTAAAGTCTGTTTCTGGTAGAGGAGATTGGATGGTGGAAAGCATTGTTGGTATTGACATGAACCGTGATGTTGTGTATGTTATGGGAACATACGATTCTGTCCTGGAAAGACACTTGTATGCCCTTCCCATTGCCAACCAGCGAAGGACTCACCCTGGCGGCGTCGACTCTGGAGACCATCATCCAAACGAAGAGGTCGCTTCACCTGCTGAAGTCGGTGATGGCAGAAGCAACAACCATGGCGTCCGTCGCGGATTAAAACAAGTAATGAATGCACTGAGTGGCAAGAATCGATCTCGAAACAACAGCGTGGGTAGTGCTTCGAATGGCGTGCTGTCAACATCAGGCAACACGGTTCAACCAATTCGTCTGACCACACTGTCAGGCATGCACAATATTGTCATGGACGAAGACTGCAGCATTTTTGCAGATACAAGCTCAGACTTGGATCGCCCAACGATTGTTCAATTATTCGCCATTCAGCATGCAGAAAATGACGGGAAGGCCACCACTCCAACAACCCGCTACCTCCTCACTCTGTACGATGCCCTTTATGACGAAAAGACAATGACTGCGTTGAACCTGACAACCACAGCCTCCTCCTCGTCCAGCCCTCCGACAAACAACATCAAGGGCGGCGGAAGCTCAGCAAAGACCCATCGACTGATATCCAGTCTTCCTGCACCGGAGCTCGTATCGTTTCCGACATCCGACGGAAGCGAAACACTTCATGCAGCTCTCTACCGCCCGGATCAAACTCGACACGGACCCGGTCCTTATCCCCTCATTTGTGCCGTTTACGGAGGTCCCCATGTCCAACGAGTGAATCGGTCGTGGTCGCAGTGCGCAGATATGCGAGCTCAACGGCTCTGTTCGCTGGGGTTTTGTGTTGTCAAGTGTGACAATCGGGGATCTTCTCGCCGTGGCATTGCTTTCGAGTCGGCCATTGCACGACGACTGGGGCGTTTGGAGGTGTTGGATCAAGTCGCTACTGTCCGACAAATGACCCTGCGAGGAATTGCAGATCCAACCCGTGTAGGGGTTTACGGTTGGTCATATGGTGGGTATCTCTCTGCCATGTGCCTGTGTAGGGCTCCAGACGTTTTTCACGTTGCAGTTGCAGGCGCTCCGGTGACTAGTTGGGATGGATATGATACCCACTACACCGAGAGATATATGGGCTTACCGTCGGATAATGCAAGTGGGTACCGCGAGTCGGCCGTCTTTGACCATGTTCCGAATATGCGAGGACGGTTGATGATTGTGCATGGTTTGATCGACGAGAACGTTCACTTTCGGCACACAGCTCGGTTGATCAATCGGCTGATTGGTGCCGGAAAAGAATATGATCTTTTGATCTTCCCCGATGAAAGGCATTCTCCCCGTCGCCTTCGCGATCGAATTTACATGGAACAACGGATAAGTGATTACTTTGTTCGTCACTTGAGCAGTCCGTTTGCTAATGGGAGCGGCGTCCCAGGAAATGTTCGGTCCATCCCTGGACACCTTTGAGTTGTGTAAACTCGACTCGAGTAGTAGCAAGCTATATAAACGCTACCGTACAGAACGCTTGGTGAATGATGCATCTAGTTTAGGTAGGAGGTGTGGCACCCACTGTCCGGAAAGGGCTGACATTTTGGCTAGAGCGGCAAGTGCTTATTGACCTTTTGACTGTGCATACAGATGGACCACGGTACCAGTACCAGTTCGACTACGATGTGGGCGATGTCACTTGTTGTATGGCTTGCCGTTTGACCTCTTTGCTAATCCTGGCTTCGATTCGCTTATCTTCCTCCTCCGCAATTCGCTCTCTGATTTTACGATAGGATGGGTATCTGGAGCAACAACAAAAAAACAGACACAACAGCAGTAACAGCAGGGTTAGTCCAAAAAGACTCAACAATACATTTGGGGGAATCGAAAATTCCATACGTACCGACAAAGCACAAAAGTATTGAACACAGCACATCCACAGAGGCACCCAGCCACGATTTTCCCAAATAGATCCTGGTAGGACCAGCTGACACTCGCCAGAAGCAAATAGAAGAGGAACCTCCAGACCGAATTGAACAAGAATCCAAAATTGACGGCAATAATAACGCGTAGAAATTTAAGCTGAGTTTCCAGGCAACAAATCAAGAGGCCTCCACAGGTAGCATAGATTGCCAAAACAAACACCGATGGGCCGGGGATCCCAACCATGACAAAAACCTAAAAAAAGAAAAAAGGTTGGTTTGGCGGTGAGCTCGTATTGTTTGCAGGATATTCATTCAGGTCAAACATTTTGTACCGTACTACGCACCGAACAGACAATGAGGGCAATGGCCACCCCCATGTTGGCCAATCTCATTGTCAAAATCATGCGGGGTAGGTCCTCTTCGGCAGCCTCCGTCGAGGACGCCGCCGTTGCCGAAGTGGTGGAACCGACTGTTGGCGTGGTGGGCTGCTGGGAAGCAGCAACTCCAGTCGTCATCTCGAAGTTATCTCCGCCTCCCGCAGCTGCGGCATTGTTGTCGTTTCCCGAACTCAACCAAGCTGGAGTGTCCGCCATGGTGATGGTATCTTCTGGGACGCACTGGCTTTGCGGTAGAGAACAATGACCAATCTTGGTCCGATAACAAATCTTGATTGAGGCTTCCGCTCTTGTGAAGAACACAACAAACAACAAGCTATCTCTGTCAACAACAAAAGGTCGCAGCGGTGGTTCAATGTCTTCGCCTTCTTGATTAGCAAATCAAGAACAGTACATGTAGTCTACCGGTGGTGTTTGGGATCTGAGGTGGATCATGACCATGGCGGTTCGGTAGGCAGCATTGTTGAGAGCAAGCGCGGACAACCGTTAGGTTTCAAGCTCACAAGGCTGTCAAAACATAAGCTAAGCTAAGCTACGTTACTTTTGCACCAAGGTTGCTTCGGCAGCTAATTCAATTATTGATGGGGTTGAGATTGCATTTTATTAAAATGACAACAGAACTTGGCAGGCAAGCCATGGTGGATGGCACCCGCAACAGGAAAAGCTTATATCAGGCATGGTAGCTATGCTGCCCAATGCCTTTGGCAGCGAACGTGACATTTTGTACAAGGCGGCAAGCAAACATCGACTCGTTTGAAAGACAAATTCGCGGTATCTTTCTGAGTATTGCTGTCACCAGCCAGAATGACTTGTACTGTACCCTGAGCTTTGATGATCGATTCGATTCATCAGGTTTGTCTCGCTGTTCGTAGTTTGAACAGAGACAAAGAAAATCGCACTAGCTAGGGGTAGTCGAGCGACAGTCGGATGCAGAATGTTTTCCAACGACCTACAGTAGCTAGCTACGGTAGAATCCACCGAGAGCAGCGTTCTCCATTCATTCCAGCATTGTGAGGATGAACTGATCTTCATCGCATGGCTGGCGACGAAACAATATTATTGTGTGTGTGTGTACGTGCCCCTACAGCACACTAACTATAATCACCATACAAAGTCAATGTAATTATTATTTGATAAACAATGCAGGTTTTTGATTCTGCACAGGAAGTAAGCAGTGTCAGATCAAGCGAGTGGCTTGTAGGCGCAGGTTGCTTTGTGGCTGGTTTTGTGGAGTGCCTGCCATCACACACAGACTACCAGTACCAGTAGTACTTTGTAATTTACTCTTCGACATCATCTCGATAGTCTCGATTCTTGCGTCTGGTTCCGGCACCTCCCGTCCGCGCCTCTTTCCGTGCTTTTGCTTCCTTGGCATCCTTGCGCCTTTGTTTTTCGGCTCCTTTGGGAACTCCTAGGAATGGTTCCAAGATGGGCCAGACTTGTCGTTTCCAGGCTTTGGACCCCTTTTTGTAGACAAAGGCGAGATTGTATCGTATGTTTCTGGCGGCTGTTTTGAGTATCTGTGGTGCGTATCGATTCCAGTACTGATTGACAAAGTACTCGCGTGTTTCGGCAATCTGTTCCAAGGCTAGTGTGAGTGGTGCTTCGTCTTCCTCCCATCCCAGAAAGTATCCGTAATCTTGATACTTGCGTTCGAGTTTTTTGACCAATTTTGGATAGTCTCCATAGTGTTTTGCGAGAATGTTGGGGACCTCTTCAATCTTGTTGGGATCGTGTTTTTCGTAGAACGAGAGAACGCGTTGACGAGGGACAGCCCCCACGCCCAAGCGAAATCCAATGGATCCCAAGACATGGTGTTTCTGCGCATAGTTGGCAATCATATCCGAGGCATAAATCAATGCCGGCAAGATGGTAGTTCCGACCATCATGATGAGTAGAATGAGAGGAGTGGTCTTGATGCCTGGATTCTTCTTGGGAATGCGTTGTTCCGGTTCTTCCTTTTTCGACTTTTTCTCCTTCTTCTCTTCGCCATTGTCTTGTTGTTGATCATTGTCGCTATCATCATCAGAGTCACTCGTCACGTTGAACATGTTCGTCACTTCTTCATTCTCGTTCTTGCGCTTCTGACGGCGACGCAGTTTCGCATCAGCTCCTCGGGCCATGGTCAAAATTAATTAATTAATTAATTGGAAACAAAAAAGACTGGTTCCTAGCTAGCTAGCTATTAAGAGAATAGTAGGATAGTAAGCTGGGATTTGTGTTGCTTTTGTGGGTATCGTATGGTATCTGACGAGGTTGATGGGTCCGTGGGCAAGTAATGAACAGCTCTGTCGCTTCAACTTGTTGCGTACTTGGTGTCAAATTCCACGCGGAAGCATATCCTGCTAATGAGGACTCAAACCTGTCCCGTTAGTCTCAGGCGCCAAAACCTTTTGTCTTCCACTTTTGAAAGAGCTGTTGGGTGCCTGCCGGAGTGCTAACCGGTCAGTACCCTCCAGTAGGGGAGCTACTGCTACAATACCTAACGGTCATCTCCGTGCCTCCAACACTGCTGGCGTTCGGCGCGCTATTCTTTCTTTCTTCTTTCTTTCTTCTTTCTTAGCCACGGCTGAAGCTACCGGTAAGCTAAGCTCCTTCCGCTTCACTTGCCCACACTCTCACAATTTCTACCATCGCACAAAGCAAAAAGCAAACCAAAGCACATCTTCTTTCTTTTTGATCTACCTACTATTTGGAAAAATATATCACCATGACGTGAGTTCAGGTCTCTACTAGTCTACTGCCGCCAATCTTCCTCTTCTCTACAGCCAGCCGCTAGCATAAACCGTACCTGCATTCTTCTTCGTCTTCTCACTTGTTTTCTTCCTCTCCTCACACCCCAGCAACAACAATAACAACAACAACAATAACAACAACGATGTCAATGTCAATGGCAATGACAATGGCAATGACAATGACAATCGCAATGACAATGGCAATGACAACAACAACAACAACAACAATGCCAACAATCGTCCCCATCGCAGGGCTGCACGCAATGGTCGGCGCTTGTTGCGAGGAACCCGACGCAGCCTTCGGAATGGCTTTGCTGGGCGCAACCAAGCGCAGCTTATTCGGCAATTGATTCGAAATGTCGCTCGCCGTCCGGGCACTGACTTGGCCAGCTCTGTATGGGAGTAAGTACGGTACCATATGACTACAGTGGTTGGATGATTCGATTCGGATGAGCCATTGTCAGCAAACTCACATCCAATTGTCCCTGTTGCTTATAGGCTCAGTGATTATGAATATCAGGTTGTTTTGCAAGACTTTGGACAGTTCTTGGAACAGCGGTTGGATCAGGTGGGACCCAACGCGGTGGTTCCTGGAGGCGAGGAGGGACGCAACCAGGGCGAGCAGCCCTAGATTTGGACATGATGGACACAAGTGTATCTGGGTTGTGGGCGGGACCATCTCATTGTGGGGCCATCAGACGGGAATTCTTTGTTCCGTGGCATCTTGTACCTCTACAAGTTGCCCTCTTTTGTAACGTAACGTGAAATAACAGCATCATCATCATCATCATCATCATCTTGTCGACAAAACTAGCTAGTTACATGTTCTTCGGTCGGTAGCCTACTAGCTAGCGAGCTACCATTTCCACACCTCACCTGTAAAACTGCATGTCTCTGAGTCCAGTTGCCCAGTTGGACACTTACATGTGCAAAAATTTAATGGTATCCTCAGCTTTGCCCTCAACTGGTACCGTCCGCTACTAGCCTTTTGAACTTCATCTTGACTGTGTGTGTTGGTGTGTTGTTGGTGCGTCGCTTTCCCTCTGTCAAACCGTACTGTACTGTACTGTTTGTGCCGGTAGCCGCCTTTTTGCGCCGGTACCGGTAGCCGACGTCCACAATGTCATGGGTTCGATTAATTGGCAAACAGCTCTACCTAGCTACCGGTACGGTACGGTACGGTACGGTACGGTACGGTACTGGTACAGGCTCATACTATACAGGAACACGTCTCCTCTGGTTTAGAGGCGAGATGGCACTTAAGGCGAGACTGGCCGGGCGAGAGTGGAAAGGAGAGCCAACGGCTCGGAACACGCGAGACCGGCCAGGCGAGACTTAAGTGACAGCGAGACTCAACCAGCGGAGACGTGTTCCTGTTGGAACCAGTTGAGAAGCCCACCCTAAGTAACAGAAAGCGCCAGTTTTGTGACCGTTAACATGTCACACTCCAGACTGAGTCGGGACATGTCTCCAAAACTTCAACCTGTGTAGCAAATGTACCAGAGGCTACACAGACTGCACCAATTTCTTCGAGACGGGTTCCGTACCGTACGGTCCGACCTCCTTCATGATGCCACCTTGGCACCAAATTGGTTTCGAACAGCTCAACGGGCTCATATCTAGTAGGGGACTCTGCTGAACAAGAGACACAACTACGACTGTACCCTACTGGAAGCAATGTTGGTCGGCATTGGAGTGTCAGTCCTTCTGATGCTGTTGTACCGGTATCGAGTCGTTGCAGGTACTAACTATTAATAGCTGGATAGCAGAGACGTTTGCCACTTTTTCTCTGGGCTGCCAGTTGCCAGCGGTATCTCCTATTGACTTTGAGTTTTGTTCTTTCTTCCATCATTCACAGAAGATGACAATGAGGGCTGTCGCATCTACCTGGCCCCCAGTACCATACATGGTGCGGGAATGGGTGTCTATGCCGGCATTGACTATGATCAGCATGATAAGATACTCTATGGGGACATTGCCATTCCAATTGATGATCTACCGTTTCACACTGGAAGCGACGACTCGGTTGTTCGCGAATTCTACATCTGGAGCGATTACTCTTGGGACAGTACCATTGCAGGGAGTGTTGTCAATTTTGATTACGAAGGAGCAGGTGATGGGCCCCTCAAAACCATGGAGCTGGCTTCCATGGGAATTGGGGCCATGCCAAATTGCAAGTTTGGTTTTGTCAATCTATACACCGAGAGCATGCTGGCCGATACCGCAAACCTAGATCGAAACAGCCCTGGGAATGGAGCCTTTACTCCCTATCATGAACGGACGGGTTATGCCGAAGAAAACATTATGGCAGGTTCAGAGCTCTTTGAAGACTATGGAACGTCCTACTTTGACGGCCGAGAAAGCTTGAAACATCTACCTCACCAAGCCGACTACGAGAATGCGGACGAAATCTTGGAAAGTCTGGGAGAATTGCGCGATGCACTGGCCCAAATACCACGAAACAAACGACTTGCAATCTTCCAAGATATCTACGACATTGTCAAAGGAGCTTGGGGTGACAACTCCCGAATCCTACAAGCTCTTCCCAACCCACCCGACAACCTACAAGATTTCCAAGACATCGAGTCTGGCAGCTATGGAACTGCTGGCTTCTTTGATACTATCATTCAAAAGGGATCCAAGTATTTGGAAAAGAAACAATCCGTGAGAGACCTTGATTGGTTGAAAGAACATGGTGTCTGTATGGATGGGATCAAGAGTGGTACCAGTGGCATCCCTCATGCTGGACGAGGTGCCTTTGCGACCCGATCGTTTCGGAAAGGAGATGTCATTGCCCCCATGCCTCTTATTCACATGCCACAGCGGGATGTACTTACGATGTATGCCCAAAAGACAAGAGGGAATGACGATGATGCCGTGGAAGACAAAGACTGGGATGAGTCTTACCCCCCTCGTGTTCGGGATCCTTCCAACCCAGTAGCATTGCAACTGTTCTTGAATTATTGCTTTGGCCATCCCAACTCGACCATGCTACTGTCGCCCTATGGTGCAATCACGTCCTTGATCAATCACGGTTCTGTCAAAAGCGGTGCTGCCAATGCTCACTTGACTTGGGCTGACAACTGGCAGGGGCATCCAGAATGGTTGGACTATACTCCGGAAGAATTGCTGGAGTACCCTCATGCTGGTTTGGGTTTCAATGTGATTGCGCTCCGTGACATTGCGCCAGACGAGGAAATCTTGATGGACTACGGGCCCGACTGGGAATCCGCGTGGGAGGAGCATGTGCAAAACTGGCATGCTTTGGAAACAAAACCAACAGGCACGTCCGTACCGTACACACCTGCGGCGAAACTGAATCAAGACATTGAGCAATCACTTGTGGATGCTTTAGAATTGGGCTATGAATACATGGGGCGAGGAGTTACTCTGTATTGCTACCATCCCAGGCCATTATTTCCTCCAAGTAGTGACAATGATGATGACGACACTGACGAGGAAGAAGAAGGCAGTGCTGATGCCTTGCACGAGTGTCGACCGGTGGAAGTATCGGATGGGCGGAATGGTAGTAAACTAGTATTTGTGGCGGAACTCATTGAATGGGTTGAAAACGACGATGATTGGGAAATGGTAGTTCACGAGACTCTGTTTGCGGCACCATCTAGCATCTTCGAGTTCCATGATCTCCCCTTTACGACAGCCTTTCAAATGCCGTGGTCTTTTCGACACGAAATTGGCATTCCGGACTCTCTGCTCCCCACTGCCTGGTTGAATCAGTAATCGGTAATCAGCAGTACCGTACTAGTAAAGTAGTGGCCAAGACGCCCCCTGCACGAGGTGTACGTACTAGTACGGTACCGGTATTTCTCGGTGAATTTGAGAGAACGTCATGAGCTGTATTATTTGAGGTTCCTGGCTAATAATAATAAGTAGCTACCGTAGTTGGTACATGTATGCATATGTACATGTAGCTACGGTAAGAGCTACTAAAATAAAATACAGTACAGTACGTTTTCAAATCTAGAAAGACTGATTCTTACGATGATATGCATTATGGAAGAACAAAATAATGAATGAAGGACTTTTGTGTGTGAGTTGTGTGTGTGTTTTTGCGATGTGAGTGCCGATTGCGTCTCGTCCGCAACATGACGTTTGGCTAGTATTTGTGTTTTTGATTTTTCATTCATTTCACTCCATGTCTAGAATGGTCGGATTGGATCTGATAAAGTAGAAGATGGCATCGATATCTTCTCTTCCTTCGATGAGTACTTTGACCCAGTCCTTTTTTGTGGCATCGGCATTAACGAGTATGACTCTTCCGGCTCTATTGAGTCTGACGTACATGTCAATTTTGTTGGAGAGTGACATTCTGCGTCCGGTGGTACGTACGGATTCAATGGTGTAGTTTTGTTCCATCATGGCGGTGATTTCTTCGATTCCTTGATTTCCAATGATTTGGCACTGTAGATCGAGTGTCTTGAGCGTAGTATTGACACGCAAGGCTTGTGCAATGGCGATGCAGCAGGAATCATCTAATTGTCGACTCCATAGTTTGAGTTCTTGCAAGGATTGTGATTGACAGAGAGTGACGAGTGATTGTGCATCTTGTACGTAGGACGTTCTGAGATCCCAGTCAAAACTCAAACATACGGCTCGTAGATTGGGCAACGCGCGGAGTGTCCGAAAGAGTTCATCGAGAGTGACGCCGGATGCCAGCGTCAATCGATGCGACGAGAATCGTTCGAGCGATTCGTGTTCGGCCATGACTTGTGCAAAGAGCGTGACGTCTTGTTTGCTCGAGAATTCGAGTCGGACCACATCGAGTGCCTTGAGATGCGACGCGGGACGCATGGCCGATGCCAAGGCCGCCATGGGAATGGAGTTGCGGCCGTGATCGAAAATCATGAGTTTTTCCAAGCCTTGCATGCGTCCCACAGTGGCCAGTAGCAGCAAGTACTCTGTCTGGGGCAAGTACTCTTCGAGCCATTGGAAGTCGACGACGACCTTTTGCACTGTGTGGTTCGACAGCATGGCCTGTCGAAAGGCTTCGTAGTCCGTTATTCGCAACGACGACGACAAATCCAACTTGACCAACGTAGGGTCATTCTCCAACAGACGGTCGGCCACGGCAGAACGGTTGCTCATCATCTTTATGATCTTGACTTTACTCAATGATCTCAACCTGAACCTGAAGTAACAGCAACAACAACAATTGGATGTGTCTGGTTTAGTAGTAGTGTGTGTTGCTGTGTGCTGCTGTGTGCTGCTGCTACGGTTGCTACTGTTGATGGTTGATGGTGGTCGTCGGTTGCTGCTTTACTTCGCCCGTTAAATATTGTGACTACTACTCGGCTGTGACGAAGAAGCCGCAGCTCGCTCTTGTTGCATTCTCACTACTTTTAAACTTGCGTTCAACTTGCCGGCAGTACACGCGAACCGTACAAGCGTACAGTAAACGAGTGCTTACGGTACCAAAGAATTAGCACTAGTTCTCATTCAGTCACAAAAAATGACCCAAAGAGAATGACCTTGTGTTCGTCGCGTCAAACGTCACAAAACTCAAAACGAAGCCACAATGTGTGTTGTTACGAGACGAGACTCTATCTAGCTAGCTAGCTAGTCTACTACTAGTACCGCTAGCTACAGGTTGTCAAGCCAAGCCAAGCCGATACGATACGAAAGTTATAACTGTTGTATTATACTGTTGTACTGTTGTACTGTGATACCATGGTGAAGAAGCTGGTAAAGGTCAAGAGGAACAGCAGCAAAGAGATGAAACAGCATGATGGGATCAACCGATTGATGGCCATTCGACATCGACTCAGGCAACGCCATCTACTCTGGTTTCTGGTACTGGTCGCCACGGTGCCCTTGCTTCTATTCTCAATCAACAATAACAACCACAACAACAACAACAATCAGCAAGAACAACAAGAACAGTCCTTCACCAGAGGATTCTTGCGATGGGCTGGAACACTCACAACCACGACGACCACCAAGGATAGTGCTTCTACTAGTACTTCTACTAGTACCAAAAAGGGCTGCTCTTCCTTGCAACAACGGCTCATTGCAAAGTCCCTTCCCAACGCCCAAACCATCATTGAAGCCACCATTTGTCCGGAAAATGATAAATGGCTCTCGGATTATCTCCTCAATAATAATAATAATAATCCTTCTCTGGAGTCTCATCATCAGTCGCCACCACAAGATGAATTTGTTTTTTTGAATTTCGGATGCAACAAGGGATTCGATGCCATTCAAGTAGCCAATACTGTATCCAAACGATCCGATGTGTTCAAGAAATCAAAATGGTTTCAAGCACTGGGCATTGACCAAAAGGGATCGTGCAATCAAGCCATTGGAAACGATGTCATTTACGACTCGTCATTTCCCAAACAGGCCGTACAGATTCACTGTATCGAAGCCATGCCCGCTACCTTTCGATTGCTGCAACTAGCTGCCGCTGCCACCACGGCAGAACACTATGGAATGCACATTCACAACTATGCCATGACCAGCAAACTGCAAAAAGATAATGCTCCCAATGGAATGATTCCCTTTCCCAATGTACTACCTGGCACCGAAAATAGAGGCATTGCACACTGCAGCAGCGAGAATCATCCTGCTGCTGCAACGGAACATTGCCAAGATGTTCCTGCAATGACCATTGATGAATTTGTCACCAAACATGTGGACAACAACAACAACAAGTCAACAACAAACACAAACACGAAAAAAAGAAGAAGAATACCCTACATTAGTATTGATGTTGAAGGAGGTGACTACACGGTACTCATGGGAGCCACACAAACACTGAAACGAACCGATTATCTCGAATTCGAATATCATGCTGTGGGGGATTGGAAACAACAAAAACTACAAAATGCCATTGATATGCTGGCAGAACTAGGATTTGTCTGCTATTGGGCTGGAAAGAAACGATTGTGGCGCATTACCGATTGCTGGATGGACCATTTCGAATTCCATCAGTGGAGTAATGTCGCCTGTGTGTCGTCCACTGCCAAACAGGCACAGAAATTGTACCAAACCATGGAACAAGTCTTTGAAGATACACTGGTCGATGGAACGTCGGGAGGCTGGTCGAAGCCATGAAACACAAAAACAAACAAAACGAACAACAAAACAAACAACAAAACAAACGAACCCAGTCCATCACCACCAATAGACAGGCAGCAACACATACTTTGTTTCTTCTCGTCATGACGGCATGATGATGATGATGAGTGACCTACAATACAATACGCATCATTGTCAAGAGTATTATCAGGTGGACAGCGTACCGGTAGCGTGGTTGAGAATTCAACCCAACAAGCGCCACTCTAGCTAGGCTAGCTAGCCTAGCTAGTAGGCAATCATGTAACTAGTTTTGCAGCACGCAAAAAGAAGAGATGGTGTTTCAAGATGCTTCAAAGAAGCAAGATTATTATTATTTTCACGTTACAAACGGCAACTTGTAGAGCTACAAGAGGCCACGGCACAAAAAAGATTTTCCCGTCGGATGGTCACGCCCACAACCCAGATACGCTCGTGTCCATCATTTCCGAATCGAATCATCAATCTAGGGCTGTTCGCCCTGGTTGGGTTCCTCCTCGTTGGCATTGGGAACCTCCACATTGGGAACCTCAACATTGGCATTGGGAATCTCCGCGTTGGCATTGGGAATCTCGTCGGGAACCTCGATGGGGACCTCCGCGTTGCGGTTCTCCAACTCCACACGCCACTGCGACTGATGCGCAAGATAATGTTCAGCAAAGCCTTCATAAAAGTCCCGATAAGACTCATCGGTAACGCTATAATATACGCAAGAGGGCCGGCCAATGCATGTGAGCTTGCTGCCAGTGTCAATGATGAAAAATCGCAACCGACGCATCCAACCACTGCAGTCATACGGTACTGTATGGTACTTACTATACGTCACCATTGCGGATTGTAGCAATACTTGGCTGTCGAACCAAATGATGAAACATTTCTCGGATCGCCTGCCCTTGGTTGTTGGCAGGCATGTGGCGCCGAATGTTGCGACGTAGCTCACGTGGCAAGCTTCTACCATTGCGACCACCCCTGCGACGTGGACGACGATTGTCGTTATTGTTGTTGTTGTTGTTGTTGCTTCTGGAGTGTGAGAGGAAGAAAACAAGTGAGAAGAAGAAGAATACAAGTTCGGTCTATGATATCGGTTGTACTGTAGAGGAAGACTGGCGGCAGGACTAGTACTGTAGATCTGAACTCACCGTGAGACTGTCATTGTCTAGTTTTGCAAATACCGGTACTGTACGAGATCAAAGGCAAGATGAAGATAGATGTTTTGCTTTCGCTTTTTGTGAGGTGCAGGCAAGCGGATTTGCTAGTTGTCGGATGGCAAAGAAAAGGCAGAAAAAATGGACTTTCGCGCCGAACGCCAGCCGGAAGGAGAAAGAGCCAGGTAAAAAAGGCGCGGCATTATATGGCCCGGTACATTCTCCCTTTATAATAAGCAGGTTGGAGATAAGATGTTGAGTACTGAGATTTGCTGAAATGCTAAGTTATTAGTACTGGAGACACTCAGATCTGCACCAGAGCAAAGATACCCTGTGAGTAATCTCCCATGGGCACATAAGAGATTAGAAATGACACTTTTCTACAACAAAAAACAGGTGCCAAAAGTCAAAAAAATTACCTCCAGCAGGTGATAAACTGGCTCTTTCCCCTCTACACCTTAGGTTTCGCTGAGTAAGGTGGGAAGCAGAGTAGAAATGTCTCTTCGCACTCTCTTCCTAATCAGATTATTAAGATGCTACATTACCCTGGTGATGGATGCTGAGCTAAGATATAAGTTCAGCAGGAATATCTGTGATAATGCTAAGATTCCCCAGTACTGAAGCAAACATATAGCATCTTAATACCAAGGTTAACGCGTATGCACCGTGTGAAAAAAGGTACCTGCCGGCAGGGCAACCAAAGCTTTTTAAATATAACGGTGGAAGCTTAATAACGGTAACAGGTACAGCGCACGGTGTTCGTTCATTCGGAAAGATTATGTGAGGTAGTCTAGTCTAGTCTACCGACGGTACTGTAAGCAAGCGGCAAGGTATGAGCCCATACCGTGCGGTAGCTAGAGCTGTTGGGCAATTGAACCAATGCCAAAGGACAGCTAGTCAGTCCACATATGACTGCATGACATGCATTTTCTATAAAGGTTAAGGTTGCAAGGTTTCTGATTTGATAGGCGCCCCTGCAGTCTGCTGGATACTGAGTTATCAGGCTGTACCGTATCGGTAGCACATCAGCGGCCTCACCCCACAACAGCGACAACAGCATCGAAGGGCAAGATAGAGATACAGCACTCTAGCAACTACGATACCATATCGTACCACTACCATGGCAGTTGACTTGGACCGCACCGATGCTTGGACAATGGCCCCAGAAAGGCTCCTTGATATGCATTACGAGCACCAAATGCAGGACGCTATTGAATGGCTGGATGAAGGTCGTTCTATTTCCCAGGAGTGGTTTCACAACGGCGACCCTCACTGTACCGCAGTGTTATCGATCACCTTGCGCATCAGCCACGCTAAGCCCGAGACGGATGGAGGACGCGACCTCCAAATCAAAATCATCTTTGGTGAGTCCTGACCCTATGCATAAATCAGAGTTACAACGATTCGATTCGATTCATCGGACAGAATCGTGCCCGCTATGAGGCTGTGGAACGTTTGTCCTTTCGCGAGTACGGTGTTTGTCACATCCTTCTTGTGGTGACATTCTGTGTCAAGGATGATGAGACGAGATGACATTCCTTTTCCCTCCTTCCGATTGTTTTAAAGCTTGTGCTGGCTTAAAATAAACCTGCGAAATCTTTGTTGGAGCCGTTGACGCAGCCCTTGCATCCATGCATTGTGGTCATGCCAGATAGATGCCGACCTGCAACCACACCTTGCTTGTTTTGTGACCATTCACCTAGCTAGCTAGCTAGGTAGTACCGTACCCACCCATCGATCTGATTCCAAAGGCAAAGAGTGGATAGGAATCGAATCATCTCGAACTGTACTCTGGATTCCAAGAATTCTTGACAGAGGTAGCTACCGGTAGCTGGCTAGCTGGCTACTAGCTAGAGAGGTAGTTTTTGTTCCAAAAATCAAGTCCATTAGCAGTCATGTCTTGGCTTTTTGGTCGTCGCAGTGAAGATGAAGAAGAGGACGGCGAGGAGTATTCGGAAGAAGAAGAGGAATTTTCTTCCGAAGAAGAAGACGAAGAGGACGACTTTGAAGATGAGGAGGAAAAGGCGGCAGCAAAACAGTCTGAAAAAGACACTACTAGTAGTAGCAGTGAGAAAATAATAACAACACCCGATCCACCCAACACCCCGGCAAACGAGGCCAAAGATGATATTGACCCCCCAGTGAAAGAAGATAATGGCAAGGCTGAAGACAATGGAGATGAAGAAGAAGCAGAGATTAAGCAGTCCACTGAGGAAGTGAACACGGAAACAGAGCAACCTGATTCTGATTCCTCTACTGGCAAGGCGACTCCCAACGGTGATAATGGTGCCGAGGAATCTACCAACAAAGATAACGACTCTAGCATTCTAGAAGAGGAGACCACAACCACTGCATCAACCATTCCTGACTACAATCATGCCGAGAAAGACGAGCAAGAAGAAGAGGAAGTTGCCCCAGAAACTCCTGGCACAACAAATGACCCAACGCCACCAATCGAGGTTGAAACAGTCAAGGAAGATGCAGCTTCTGATGATGATGATGATGATGAACCTGCACAGCTGCAAACTACGGAGGATGATCAGGAAGAAGAAAAGGAAAAAGATGAGACCGGTGATGATGATGATGATGATGATGATGATGATGATGACGAACAACCAACGGAATCGAGCCCTGAACCATCCAAACAACCTACCAGTGAGGACACACAAACTGATGAAGCAGACGAAAATCCAGCTGTTGCAACAACACCCTCCAAGGATACTACCAGTACTGATCCGGAGGATGTCGAGGAAGCCACGTCAACACATGAAAAACAATCTTTGCTAGTCCTGGCGGCAGAACATGATCGTGTCGATATTCTAAAAGCAATCCTGGCGGATGGCTCGGAAGAAAGAGATACCCTCCTCAATTCGAGCATTCCACCACTGCACATTTCCATATCCTATGGATCTACCAATGCCGTGCAGTGCTTGTTGCGCATGGGCGCCGATCCCAGTGTCCGGCCCGATGTCAAGAAAATAAAAGACGACGCGGATGCAGGAGAAGAGGAACAACTGGTCGAAATCCCCAATATGGGAAGGTTTGACAAGTTATCTGCATGGGAACTCGCATTTGGGAAAGACAGTGATGCTGATGACGATGATGACAAGGACAAGACAACCAACAAAAAGCGTGGAGGGTGGTTCGGAGGCTCCTCTGCTAAGAAATCATCCAATATTGATATCGCACCCTCGAAATTGGAGGGAATACGCCACGCCTTTACGGCAGAAGCATTGAGATGTATCGGTTCCGATGAAGCCGACCGATTAAAACAACTGCTGGACAGTGGGATGCCATCGACGATTGACATTGGAGGGAAGAATCTGTACGACTGGTCCGTCGAAATGGGAGCACTGCAGTGCGAAGAACTGTTGCGACCCGAAGAAGCAAAGCGCAATAACGCTGTTGCCGGTAGTAGTGAAATGGGAGAAGCCAACAATAGTGCCGAATCCGACGGCGAAAAGGCTGGTTCGACGGCTGTCTTGGATCGAGCCACTACTCCGGGCACGGAATCATTATCACAGCTCAACAACCGCATCGACGAACTGGAGTCTTTGTCCAAGGCATTATCCAGCTGTCTCGACAATCTCGCCGAAGAAGTTAGCGTTTGTCACGGTTTGCTGTTGATGGGAGGTGGAGCCACTGCCTTGGCGTCCCATGTGCGGAGTCTCAAGGCCCTCAAAGAGAACAAAACCGCAGAACTAGAACGAATGGAGGAGGCGTGGGAAAACAGCGAAGATGAACTCGCTTACTGGGCGAAAGAATGCGGAGAAGAGGGAAAGGAAATTGCCGAGCTTGTGTCCACTGCCATAATATCTTCTGCCGAAAAAGAAATGAATGCTTCGTATGCTGGAGCCCCGGAAGACGAGCAAGCCCAAAAGCAACAGTTGAGGGCTCAAGCAGCGGCGCTCGAGAACAAGGTAGGTTCGTTTCGAATGTTTCTTTTCCGAGTTCATGTATTGGTGGGTTTCGTTCTCACCCGACCTGATACGTTGCCCTGTTGAAAGATTCGAAAACTGAGGGCTTCAATTACGGATCTATCGGAAGAAAGTACCAGAGATTTGGAAGAAGTGGAACGAAGAGGGCTATCTGGTGGAATCAACCTGGTACGAACGCTGCGCGAAGAGTTACGTGAACTAGAATTCACCTTAAACGAAGCAAAGAGTGCCGAAGCTTTGTGCCGAGCAAAGATAAAGGTGATCCAATGCAAAATGGGGGCCAAGAGACAATCCACGACGGTGGTTTCGGACGGAGAGCCAGTTGCAGAGAAGGCTACCGACAAACAGCCCGCAGAGCCAGCCGCAGCGAATGGCGCTCCTTCAAAATTACCAGTTGCGGTTGTGGAAAGTACAATTGGCACTGCGGCCCCCGTGGACTCCAGCTCCAAGATGGATACCAACGGCGAAACTGGCAAGCAAAGGCTGGTAAACGGAAATACGCAACAGGAGACCCAGTCGTCACATCCTCCGGTCCTTGTAGGGGTGCACGAATCGATGTCACAAACCCCGCTCGTCTCGGACACGATTACGTCTGGCCAATCGAACGCGGTAGCTTTGAAGTACGTTGAATTCCGAGGTGTGAGTTCCATGGATATGGTCTACTCCACACAGTCAGTCTCACAGTTATTTTCCCACTTCTTGGATCCTCACCAGAAAACCAAACAACCATGGATACTTTACAGTAGACTTGTGGGAAATATTGCTTCGGATCATTGGACTGGGTTCCAATAATGGTGCTTCTCGACAATCGGTTGGCTCACAAGGCTCTGCTTCCACCGTGATGATTGTGTAAAAGGCGATGGCAATGCCTCTGATTGCAGTTGGGATTCATCTCCATAAGGTAGAACGAATTTCCGACACGGAACGCCTCTCCCTTTCGAAGTTCTAGCTAGTTTGCAGGAGAATTGCCGTCCTAAGAGGCTCTGTACAGACCGTAGTCCCAGTTCGGTGATGCAAGCAGGTTAGAAGCCTGAAGTTGACAACCTCTGGTTTGAACCATGAATAGTAGCTTGCTTTTGGCACCAGTCCCAGCCCCGATGTTGTTTCAAATTGCAAAAGATTAGGAAAGATGATACCACCAACCACCAATAATTGCTTTGGATGGTTCTACAAAAGTAGAGAAAACTTTGTTCGTTCTCGTGTTCTAGTCCCTTGGTCACCGAGACTGACAGGACCAGCGTGTCTTGACTGTACGGTACTGGAGACTTGGAACTGGCTGAAGCTATCCATTGCTTTTTTGAAATACGGTACGGTAGTAGCTGCCGTAGCTATGACATTTGTGTAAATCCATTGTTTTTATTGCTACTTTTTGTTGTTGTTGTTGTTGTGCTATGTCATTGTTGACTTCCTATATTATATTTGCGTCCCTCGTTTGGGCGGTTGCAGCGGCACTGGTTCTGGCAGACTGTCCACAGTGGATTGCATTCTCCGTACTTCTCCATTGGCGAATCGATAGGACGAAAAGGCTCCAACATTGGGTGCATTTGCGCCATATAGTTGTGCAATTTGGAGGACATCGGCATGGGATGCCATGACAATGTGATATTTGCAACCATTATCATCATCATCATCATTATCATTGTTAGTATCGTCGGACACAAACTCCAGTTGCTCCAGGTCGTCCATAATCAATGATCGAATGCGGGTACAAACGGCCGCGACGGATTCGACATCAAATGCAGTATGAGTGACATTGAATTTGTCGACGGGCCACACGTATGCGTACGTGTAAATGGCTTCGTCATCGAGTCTTCCAAAATAGCGTTCCATGAGTTGTTCTCGGAGTAGAATATTAGTATTATTATGGCAATCGAGTTCCATTTGTATTTCGACTCCCAAAGTGTCGAGTCGTTGTCGCAACGTTGGATTCTGGCACAATTCCTGTAGACATGCTTGTGCCGTTTGTCTGGCTCTGGCAAAAGGCGATGATACAAATAGTATTTTATCTCCCTTTTTGACTACTACTGTTGAAGCCTGTTCTTCGAGTGCTTGTATGAGTGACTCTGCGGCTTGTGTCGCCTGTTGATATCCGACAGCGGTGAGTCCATGTCGTTGTGAATATGCCAGTGATCGATCCGAGGATATGACGGATGCGACATTGGCCGTGCTCTGCCCATGGCGTAATAGGTAGTACTGGTGACGCAATTGGTCGAGTGGCAATGGTTCTGGCATGTTGGAGACGATCTGAACATCCTCGTTGGTGGGTAGGACTGGTGGAGTGGGACTGGTGGTAATGCTGTCGAGAGTCAACGTCGATATCGTTGTGTCTGCAGATGATGATGATGATAATGATGATGATGATTGTTGTTGTAGAGCTAACATGGAGACTCGGGTTTGCAATTGATGGGATAAGAGAGGTTGAAAACTGCTCGAGAGAGTCAGACAGCACAATACTAGTAGCACTATTAATAGCAAGGCTGCGCCATGGACATGGTGGGATATCGACATCGATTTCATTAGCTAGCTAGCTAGCTTGGTACTAGCTTATTAGACTACTAGCTAGTAGTAATGTGTTTTGGTCTTGGTGGAGGCGAAAAAATAAATGAGACGACTCACCATGTTCTGGTGCAGACGCGTCAGTCAATGACGTCAGTCAGTGACGTCGGTACTTTGGCATCACGATCTCTCACAACTCACAACCCACAACTTATTCCTGCCTTTGTTTTTCTGTTTTTGGTTGGTTAGAGCCTGTACATACAGTACATAGATATCAATGAATGATGAGTGCAAGTCTATTATCGCTGTTCCTGACGAGGGCCCGTCCAAGCTTGGAACGCAAGGTTATCAGTTATACTAGAGCATTCTCGTTTTCCCCCGGAGATGCCGGCCAGAAGGCAGAAGAATTGGCCCAACAGCAACAACAGCAATGCATGAGCCACACGGACCAGCCGTCTCTGTCTACAGTGGCAGCTCATGCGGGTGTAACAACAACCACGAGGTATACCAATCAAGCGTTGGCGCCACCCATCGAATTGGCCACAACCTACACTCGACCCGCACAAGGAACCTACGAACCATCTCATGCCGTGTATTCTCGCATGGACAATCCGACGCGACGCTTGTTGGAACAGACCGTATGGCAGTTGGAAACAAATACTACTAGTACTATAATATGCAATTCAGACAATAGTACTACATGCATGACGTACGCCTTTGCATCGGGCATGATGGCGGCTTCCTCCATTGTGCTGGCACACCAATTGCCATTGACTGTCATTCTACCACTGGATTTGTACCATGGAGTCTCCACTGTCATGGTGGATGTTTTTCAAGAAAAGTGGGGAGTCAAAGTAAGGAGGGTAGATTTGACTGATCCAAAACTACTACAGCAAGAACTACTACAACTGACACAGGAACAACACGATATTGATACCACACACAACATTCTCATTTGGATCGAGACACCCTCCAATCCATCGTGTCATGTCATGGATATACCTGCCATTTGTCAAATCGTTCAAAAAGTCAGAAAACAACAACAACAACAAACAAACATTACCACTGTGGTGGATTCCACATTGGCACCTCCCGTCATTCAACAACCACTCTTACTCTGTCAAAATGGTAATAATCATCATCATCCAGACAATGCCGGCATCGATCTGGTGATGCATTCGGCAACCAAATACATGGCAGGACATTCCGACGCCACGGTTGGAATTGTCACGGCATCACCCTTTACCCAACAAGGACGAATGCTGGGACCAAAACTACAACAAACGCAAATCGCTGTGGGAGGTGTGGCTTCGCCCATGGATTCATGGTTGACGCTACGAGGACTCAGAACCTTGCATGTGCGAGTCCAACGACAATCTCAAACAGCCATGACCTTGGCAACACGGTTGCAGGAACTAAAGCAACAGCAACAGCAACAGCAACAAGACAAGAACAGTATTATGATTATTCAAAAAGTCCATTATCCAGGATTGATCAGTCATCCACAACATGCCGTGGCAAAACGACAAATGAAACAACAACAATACGGGGGTGTCCTCAGTGTGGAATTTGCGTCCCCGCATCTGGCAATGGCATTTGCCGGGGCACTCAATATCATGTACCGTGCCACCAGTCTCGGAGGCACAGAAACGCTCGTGGAAGAACGACGATCCATTGAACCTCCAGGACGACAAACCAGTCCACCGGGATTGGTACGAATATCCGTGGGGCTCGAAGCAGAAACAGATCTACTACGAGATGTCGAACGAGCACTTGACATTGCCAAACAAGTTTGTCACGAGAATTGTGATTCATAATAAAAGGTTACATACAGCCTTTGTTCCACAGCTGTTTGGTTTGTTGATTCATTGATTCGTTGATTCATCCGTACAAAAGGAGCGAGACGTCAGTCATAAAAGGAACCGCTCCTATCTATTTTCATCATCAGCATCCACTCCCAAGCTCCACTTGAACTTTGTGGCCAAAGGAACCATCAGATTCTTCGACAATGTCACCGTCATAGGACAGTTTGAAACTTCCATCACCATACCGAAAACATAGCCTGGAAAAGAACAAGAAACGCAAAGATGAAGTAACAACGAGTCAGAAAATGAGAGCCTGTTGGCACATAGATGGACAGTGATGAAACGGCATCAAATCATATCAGATCAGGTCGATCAATGTATGCACTCACCCATCTCCAAAAGAATCCCAAAGAATGAACTCGTAACAGCCAGCGGGATCTTGGCATGTTGAGTATTCATATGTCTCGCTTTCAGAGAAGCTAGAATGATCCCAAATCTTCTCGGGACTGGAGCCTGCCGCTGACAGCTTGACCAATTCGAATCGATTCTCCTTTGGAAATGTGTCGGTTGTAAAAGTCAGCCCTATCTCTACGCAATCCTCGTCGGTTGTCGCGTCTGGATCCGTGGGGGTTGCGTCGACAGCTTGCACGGGCTCGGAAGAACCACCAACGTTGACAACGGGGAGATTAGCGCTAGCCGTGTCACAATACCCCATACTGACCGCTTGACGCGATGCAAATACCCCATCGCTCTTGGCAATCTCCTGTCCTCCAAAGGAAACGGAATAGCTCCCCGATCCGTAGTCGCAGCACAACCTACCGTACAGCCGAGAAAAGAGTCAAGTGAGAGGAACAATCGCTCTACGAAAGGTAGAACAGAAGAAGAAAGAAACAGCCTCACCCGTCTTCGGCGCTATCCTTGATCACAAATGTGTAGCAGTTTGCGGGGATGCACTTGTGCCATTCGTACGTCTTCGAGTCCTCGAAATCGGCACCAGACAGAACCACGTTCGAGGGATCCAACGTATCGATGAGCTCCCAAGATGTCTCTTCACCGTAGAAGTCTGTCTTGATGGTGAGTCCAAACGGTACCTCACTTTCATCGCACTCATTCTCTAAGGAGGAAGACGTTGTCGTTGGGACTCTTTGAATTGCGACACTGCTGGCAACACCCAACCCTCCCGCAGGCTCTGCAAGTGGACCTCCATTCAAGTGGATAAGAGCCTCCTTGGCATTGACAAGCCCGTGGCCATAGTAGTCGTCACGCCCAACGTCCCCAAGATCAACGGCGGAATCTTCAATGGCTCGCAGAATCTCTGTGGCCGTTGCTTCTGGCTTGAAACTCCACAACAGCGCAGCAACTCCAGCCACGTGCGGCGTTGCCATGCTCGTGCCGCTCGCTGTACCATAACCACTCGCCGCACCATTCACGTTGCATTCTGTGCAACCTCCACTAGGAAGTAGACTCAGGACATCCACTCCTGGTGCTGAAATGTCAACGCGACGGTGTCGCTGGGAAAACGAAGCATGCGCCTTGTTTCGGTCCACAGCTGCAACACTGATGACTCCATTGTAGCTTGCTGGATAAGACGGCCGATGCCCTCCACCATTGCCAGCCGCGGCAAAAGAAAGAATCCCATTCTCACGCAACAACTTGTCAAATACCAGAAATTCGAACGGGTTGGGTAGGGGACCTCCAAGGCTCATGGTAATGATCTTTGCACCCGCGTCGCGGCATTTGTATGCTGAATTGACAAGAGACGAAGAGTAGGCGAATCCGCTGTCGTCAGCAAAGTATTTCACGGCGAATAGTTCCGCTTCTGGTGCAACCCCAACGACCCCAATGGTGTTGTTCACAGCCGCGATGGTTCCAGCTACATGAGTTCCGTGACCAGCCGCATCATCATACCACTCATCGGACCCTTGGAACCAAAACGAGGAGGCAACAGATCCATCCAACCCATTCTGATCAAGGTCTTCATGCCGAGCTGCTCGATGATGCACAAAGGAAGTAAGCATGAGAGGATGCAGATCGATTGTTGCCCCCCAGCAAAAAGAACGTACCTATCCCAGAGTCAATGACGCAAACCTTGACACCCGCCCCCTTGATTCCGCGCTGCTATTTTCATCATCAGCATCCACTCCCAAGCTCCACTTGAACTTTGTGGCCAAAGGAACCATCAGATTCTTCGACAATGTCACCGTCATAGGACAGTTTGAAACTTCCATCACCATACCGACAACATAGCCTGGAAAAGAACAAGAAACGCAAAGATGAAGTAACAACGAGTCAGAAAATGAGAGCCTGTTGGCACATAGATGGACAGTGATGAAACGGCATCAAATCATATCAGATCAGGTCGATCAATGTATGCACTCACCCATCTCCAAAAGAATCCCAAAGAATGAACTCGTAACAGCCAGCGGGATCTTGGCATGTTGAGTATTCATATGTCTCGCTTTCAGAGAAGCTAGAATGATCCCAAATCTTCTCGGGACTGGAGCCTGCCGCTGACAGCTTGACCAATTCGAATCGATTCTCCTTTGGAAATGTGTCGGTTGTAAAAGTCAGCCCTATCTCTACGCAATCCTCGTCGTTGTCGCGTCTGGATCCGTGGGGGTTGCGTCGACAGCTTGCACGGGCTCGGAAGAACCACCAACGTTGACAACGGGGAGATTAGCGCTAGCCGTGTCACAATACCCCATACTGACCGCTTGACGCGATGCAAATACCCCATCGCTCTTGGCAATCTCCTGTCCTCCAAAGGAAACGGAATAGCTCCCCGATCCGTAGTCGCAGCACAACCTACCGTACAGCCGAGAAAAGAGTCAAGTGAGAGGAACAATCGCTCTAGAAAGGTAGAACAGAAGAAGAAAGAAACAGCCTCACCCGTCTTCGGCGCTATCCTTGATCACAAATGTGTAGCAGTTTGCGGGGATGCACTTGTGCCATTCGTACGTCTTCGAGTCCTCGAAATCGGCACCAGACAGAACCACGTTCGAGGGATCCAACGTATCGATGAGCTCCCAAGATGTCTCTTCACCGTAGAAGTCTGTCTTGATGGTGAGTCCAAACGGTACCTCACTTTCATCGCACTCATTCTCTAAGGAGGAAGACGTTGTCGTTGGGACTCTTTGAATTGCGACACTGCTGGCAACACCCAACCCTCCCGCAGGCTCTGCAAGTGGACCTCCATTCAAGTGGATAAGAGCCTCCTTGGCATTGACAAGCCCGTGGCCATAGTAGTCGTCACGCCCAACGTCCCCAAGATCAACGGCGGAATCTTCAATGGCTCGCAGAATCTCTGTGGCCGTTGCTTCTGGCTTGAAACTCCACAACAGCGCAGCAACTCCAGCCACGTGCGGCGTTGCCATGCTCGTGCCGCTCGCTGTACCATAACCACTCGCCGCACCATTCACGTTGCATTCTGTGCAACCTCCACTAGGAAGTAGACTCAGGACATCCACTCCTGTGCTGAAATGTCAACGCGACGGTGTCGCTGGGAAAACGAAGCATGCGCCTTGTTTCGGTCCACAGCTGCAACACTGATGACTCCATTGTAGCTTGCTGGATAAGACGGCCGATGCCCTCCACCATTGCCAGCCGCGGCAAAAGAAAGAATCCCATTCTCACGCAACAACTTGTCAAATACCAGAAATTCGAACGGGTTGGGTAGGGGACCTCCAAGGCTCATGGTAATGATCTTTGCACCCGCGTCGCGGCATTTGTATGCTGAATTGACAAGAGACGAAGAGTAGGCGAATCCGCTGTCGTCAGCAAAGTATTTCACGGCGAATAGTTCCGCTTCTGGTGCAACCCCAACGACCCCAATGGTGTTGTTCACAGCCGCGATGGTTCCAGCTACATGAGTTCCGTGACCAGCCGCATCATCATACCACTCATCGGACCCTTGGAACCAAAACGAGGAGGCAACAGATCCATCCAACCCATTCTGATCAAGGTCTTCATGCCGAGCTGCTCGATGATTGCACAAAGGAAGTAAGCATGAGAGGATGCAGATCGATTGTTGCCCCCCAGCAAAAAGAACGTACCTATCCCAGAGTCAATGACGCAAACCTTGACACCCGCCCCCTTGATTCCGCGCTGCCAGGCATAAGGCGCTTGGACTAGCTCCACCCCGTAGGGCACTTGTTGCGACGGGGACCGAGAATTTCGGAGATGACTCGCTTTCGCTGTTTCGTCGCGTGGAGAACGGTGCGGTTTGATGGATCCGTGGATCATTTGGGTTGTGCGAGCTGCATCCTCATAGACTTTCTCGATTTCAGGATCGTTCTTGAGCGCCAATAGCTCTTCCAAAGACTCAACATTCACGACAAAGCTTTCCAGGTCGGGAAAATCAAAGAGCATCCTTGTAGAGCTAGAGGAATCCGCAATGCGGGTATCGTGATGGATTCTCCATAGACAGTCATCATGCCTACCGGATTTGTACTTGACGAAAACGCGTTTGTTGTGGCCGTCATCGATATGGCTCCTGCTGGGTTTTGCAAAGACTGCTGGTGTTGAAACGAATAAGAAAGAAGCTGAAAAGAGCGTGGATGTGACTGCTCGAATCGGCGCCATTTTGTTGTCGGTGTTGTAGGCTTGGTCGAGTTGTATTTCTTAGTTTTGTGCGAAAGATCTTTCATCACATCATCTCCGTGTTTGCCATTCGGCACCAAGTTCCTCACATTATTGGTCTAGCTAGCTACCTGGTAGCATTCCGAAACTGAAAAAATGCGTACGGAACGAGGGACAACCACTTCTGCCGTCCCGAGTTTATGCAAGTGCCGAGTGGGCATGATCCAGATCCAATCGATGTTGCCGAAGCCTGATGTGTTTCGTTCCGAATCAGAATTTTTAAAAGGGGGATTAGAGTAGGGAGGTTCAGGAAAGATGCTCAAAGCGACGACAGTGGCTTGGGTATTCTCAGCTAGCCAGCTAGCTAACCATGGTACCCCAGCTGGCTACTCGTACATGCAATGTACCCGTAGCGCATCTACCTCAATATTCGTTTCCAAGTATGACGCTGGCGACGCATGCTGCTATTGATGCAGCAGGATCTGATTGAGAAGAACATCTAGCTAGCTATGGTATGGTACAATATGGTGATATAATAGTGCAAATGCGCTATTGGAGTTATGTAGAGTTTCAACAAATAGGGCTACATGTACCTGAACAAGTAGCCGCAGCACAAGGATATCCCATCTAGTGGCCCCAACCTGAGAACTGTCCCAACCTGAGAGTCGCCCCGAGAAACTTGCGTCATAAATTTCATTTCACATCAGAGAAAGGTCTGTCAAATAAATAGACAGCCTAGCCGTTGCAATCCCAACCAACATTCATCCTGCTCCATGTTCAGAGTGTGTTGTTGGTGTTGCCATCGGTCCCTTCACCTTCACCTTGGTTGCCCACATGATTGTCAAAAAGCCCAACAACAAGGGCTTGTACACCCGCCTGAAGAGCCTGAAACGCTTCGGCCGTGAAGGATCTGTAAGAAGGAAACATAACGGATAAGGTTTGCTGTGAGTTTGCTGATGATGTCATGATGCTGGGAATCGAATCTCGTCCAAACAAATCAGTCGGAGAACGGTAAAATACTGACATGATACCCGAACCGGTAGGAGCACGAGCGACCTCTTGTTCTTCCGCGGGATCAGGACGATTATTTCCTTGGTTGCCTCCATTGGGTGGCTGCTGGGTTTCCTCAGGTCTGCATGTGGGTTGAGAGTGAACAGAGAGAAGAAGAATGGTGGTTAGGTTCATCATACAAAAGGCTGAGGGGAGCTCTGCTGCGGCGTCTCTCGTGCTACCAGAACCCTCACACACAGGTGGAGATTGACAAACAAAGGATGCCATCGCTGGCTGGCCAAAATTGAACTCACCGGCACATGTTTGATTAGTTGGGTTGAGGTATGGTAGATACAAAAGTTTTGTTTTGCCTTTCTCTCTTGAGTAGATTATGAGAGGACGGTGTGAACTGTCAACAAAAAAATTTGCCTTGCCTGGCAGCTGGCAGCTCGCAGCGGCAACCAACAGGCAGAGACAGCGGCAACCAACAGGCAGAGACCTGGCACGCTGGCAGCCAAAGCCAATGCCAACAGCTGTAAAAAGTGCTCCCCTACCGGTACGGTACCCGTCAGGGGCACAACAGCTGCCAATGTAAAATCCGATAGCTATCCGATGCAAAATCCAACCACAAATCGTGCACTGCACGATTGAGGAGCCCTCCAAGATCCAATTTCATCGGAACGTACATGCCGAGAGCACCCCTCTGGCACTGACGTCATCCCCATCAATCATTCAACTCCAGTACGGTATACCTGATACAGTCGTACCACAACCAGTGATGGTTGGATGCCTTCAACGACACCAATTTTCTCACTATCCAGATAGAAGGAAGACAACACCAGGACCTCAACTGTCACTATCTATCCTTCAAAACCTTATCGATGTTGTCTCAAAGGCAGCTACATTTAGCTGTCTTGATGGTTCTGGGGATTGTTGGCTGTTGGCTCGCACCCATGGCCATTGCGTTTGGTCCTCGGTCTACCGGTATGCCCTTGGGGACTGTAAAAAGGCGTCGTCACCACCATTCTACTGGTACCAGTGATCAGCAGGAGCCCATATGCTTCGTCAGCACCAAGTTTCGTTCTCTATTACGAGCTACCGTCAACTTTGAGGGAGAGTCCTCCACCAGTGTATCTGTTCCAATCCCATCCTCATCCTCATCCTCATCCTTGTCCTCCACCAACAGGAACAACAGTTCCTTGGCGGATTGGATGCTCTCGTCGGACTCTGACGAATTTTTCCTGGGAACACAAGACTTTCGCAAACGAACTGATGGTTGCTGGGATGCCTTTCAGCCCAGTGTGGATTGGTTTGGCTTGGAATTAGTGCCAGTTTTCGTAATCAAATTGGAACGCAACGGGCCCAAAAAGCAGGTATCTGCCATCATCACACAAGCTAGAAGTGATATTCGCTCTGGTCAAAATTCCGTCACTGGAAGGCTGGCCGGAAAAGTCATGGAAAAGTCATCCTTCCAAGGATCCAATAGAGTCACCTGGAAGGAAAATGATCTAGCAAATGAATGGATCTTGGAGGCCGATCTCTCACTCACTCTGTCGATACCACTACCTCCATTGGTGCCGCTGCCTCCCGGATTCAATTCCATTGGTTCTCGTATTGTCAAGTCCACGTGCAAGAGACGGCTGGAACAATTCCTCAATAATCTGCAAGCTTCCTATCTCGATTGGGCGAAGCGACAGTAGCCATACCAGAACATGAGCCATCTATGAACAATTTTGAGCTTTGAAAACATGCAATCATGATCTCTTATCCAATTAACTCTTATCATCCCAAATAAAATCAATTCACAAGAACAAAGTCATCACTTCCAGGGCCTCCACTTGTGGAATCCTCCTCTGCTACCTTTTCACCAATGTCACCCTCTCTGGGTTCCTTTGCCTCGGACATGGCTGCCAGCTGGCCCAGGAGACTATCAAACTTGGTCAGATCAGGACGACTGCCATCAATCACCATTGTTTTATATCTAATTCCATTCGCGCCCAGGCTGCTTCGGAAGTGGAGATCGCCATCCCCAACGCATACAACAATGAGTTGCGCATTGGGGTTGACTTCCCTCTTGTACAAGGCAAGAAGAGATGCAAACCTGTGACCATTCCAAGATGTATTCTCCATTTCATCTGTGACCATGACAAACAAATCCATAACCTTCTTGGCCTCATAGTAAGGCCACAAGGCTGCCGCCAAAGACGTGCAGTTGTTCGCGCGGATCTTGTGGCACACAGCCATTGTTTCTTCCACATTGCTCGGCTTGGCATGGGGCGAACGGATCAAGCAATAACTGAAGAAACTCAGCTCACCATCAAAGATTGAAGCCACCATGCTGGCAAAAATCGTGGATGCCTCAACAGCCCGCTGCATGCTAGCCGAAGCATCACCAAACACGGCAACCCTCAACAAGTTGGCAACGGCGGAATACCGCTCCTTCAGTTCGCCCAACCGACGATTGGCAAGAGGCATCAGGAACCCACCAACCTTGAGACGCATCCTATCGAACTTGAAGATTCTCTCCACCAACTTCCCGTACGTTGCCTTGCTCTTGTTGCTCTGCAGAGACTCGGCCAGAGCATCCTCCTCATTCCCCAGACGGTTCTTGAGGATGGTTTCGCACTTTCGAGAAGTCTGGTACAACTCCTCAAAAAACCACAGCACGGTTTCCAATGGGATGTGTTGCGCTAGGTACTCCACAATGGACGCCTCTGCCAACAACCTGGGTTGCGTGCGGAGGAACGAATACTGGCGTCGGACTTGAACAGGGAAACTCTCAGCAATTCTTAGGAATGCTGCGGTGAGCTCCTCTCCGTTTCCTGCAAGCCCGCGCATTTGAGCAACAAAGGAATCCTCTGGAATCTTCTGCCCAAATACGTCGGCGAGAAAGTACGGCACTGCAAAGTCGCCGGGTTTGAAATGAACAAGATCAGCAACGTTTCGCCACGGCTCGGAAGGCAGTGATAACATGACGAACTCCAAAAAGTCGGCCTTTAGTGTTTCCTTTGCCCAATCCCTCACCTTGCGAGCCAATGCCCCAGAAACCGAGGCCGAATCGATCTGCTCTTGGACGCCGGTGTCAATGTGGGAGTCCATGTTGTGCTCGCAGCACCAACCGCTTTGACAACGAGCTACAGAGAGCTCGCTCTCCACGGCTTTGAGCCGTTTGCGATACACGTCAATCATGCGAGTGCGCTTGCGTTTCTTCTGCTCGTCCGTGGGTTCTTCCGGTGGCCCGCCGTCGCCACAGCGTTCCTCCGTGTCATCTTTCACGATAAGCTCCGGGTGTTCGTTTTCAATCTGCTGAATCTTCTTGCGAAGCTGCCTGGCGGACCGAGGACGGTCAAGGAGGAGGAGACCTTTGAAGATATCGGTGACTTCGCACTGGCGGAGGAAGCTAGTCAAGGCGGAGTGCTCGGAACAAATATGAAGAGCCGCAAGCACCCTTGCCTTGACAGCGCTGGATACATCGGCCATTGCCCCAGTGGCCACCAGTTCTTTGATAGTTGCGACGTACCCATCTTTGTCCATCCTCGCCGCCCTGACGTGGGTGTGAAGGCACGGGCTGGATCGTTCAAGAAACAGATCTCTCAAGATCATTTTGATTGGGTTTTGGGTTTTGAAGATTCCTTGCCAGCCTCTTTTGGTTTTGTGCTGCGATTGCGTCGGCGAGACCCTATCTATCGTCATCGCACGTTCGAATAGATGAGACGTATCACCAGTCAAGGTTACACAAGATCAGTTCAATCTGGACATTGGAAAGATGCGTTAACAGACGACACGTTTGAAACGCATGTCTCGCAGAGTCGCGTAGCACACCAAATACCCTTCTCAGCAGCTATGCTTCTGCCAGCCCAAAATAACGGCAAACCTACGACATGGGCATAAACAGCTGCTAACAGTACACCACCACCTACCTGTGTCACCAGGCGGTAGTTCAGGTTGCCCCATTGTTTCTGTGGGTGTGATTGTTGGAGGGCATATTGTACGAAAATATCTCACCATGAGTTGAAATTCTTTTCTGTACACACCAGTAGCAAGACCTGTCATGGTAAATCTCCAGATGAACCATGCTCTGCCGAGTGTCGCAGGAAGAGTCTCCTCTGGCTGTTCATCTCCTCTTTGCCAGATTCATTGAGCTAAAGGGCCAAACCAGCGCACTGTCAGAGGCTTCAGGTTCAAGAGAAACTGAATAATCAATGCAGGCACAAAAATGTCCAACCGAAATGACGGATTTATTTGGATACAAGAAGACTCCAAGGTTGCTTCACTTGGCCACCAGCAGAAGCTATGGTTAGTTCCAGCCCAAAGCCCGATGGCCATCCTCATCCCAAAGGTTCTGAGGTTCTGCTGATCATGCAAGAAGGAACCTGCACGGTGTAGACTCGGTCGAAACCAGCTTTGGCCTTGATCCTTACTTCCAATTCATAATTATATCAAGTGGCTACCGGCATCATATTTAGTGGTGCAAGCGATATGAATGATGTAGCCAAGAATAATGAGATACATACGGTTGAGCTGGCCATGCTTGGATGTGCCACGAATTTTCTTCGTAGGTTTTCAATCTTTGGGCGCTGGAAATAAATAAATGTGAGGACTGGGGTATGGGGCAACTTATGGATTTCGTTACAGTGTGTTTCGGAATGCATGTTTGAGCGTAGCTACGCATAACTGTACGTAGTCAATCGTAACTGCACGTAACTGCATGTAACTTAGTACACTAATATCCACAGTAAAACGTAACTGCACATAATGTAACTGCACGAAACGTAACTGCATGTAACTGCCATGCTATTTAGAGTGTGGCAGTGGCGTGTTGTGTATCTAAATCCTATAGTTGCCCCATACCCCTGGGGAGAGTCGAGTCGGGTCGAGTCAGAGTCGAGTCGAGTCGAGGAAGCGAGCGGGCTCGCACAACCTGACCTTCCACACCCACCGGTACTAGCTACCAGTAGTACGTGTACGGGTAGCCTGATTTGTCCCTCACAAATTTTCACTTAGGCTAAGTGCTCGAAAATCCACTTAGGCTAAGTGTTTTACTTAGCCTAAGCAATACACTTAGGCTAAGCAATACACTTAGGCTAAGCCATACAAAGCAACTCACTTAGGCTAAGCGAAACACTTAGGCTAAGTGATGCTCTCCAAGGCATCTTCTCAACAGCACAAGTTCAGCACAAGTCCCTGCAGCTTGCTGTAAACAAAGCGCAAACACACAAGTTCCAATACAACCATCACCCACCATATCCTCCGCCTTATGCAAGGCTTCCTGCAAACTGCTCAAGGAACTTCACAAGAAAGAGTTCAATTGGGCTGAGACTGAGATTTAGATCCAGGTTGCGATTTCCCTGGAGGATGGTATCATCCATACATGGCAGCATACTATTAATCTGGCTTTCACCCTTGGCTATAATGTAAATACGCAACAATAAAAAAGTGCCAAGGGAGACTCCGTACGATTGGGAATTATTACAGTTCCAGGGTGGAAGTCCGAAAGTATTAATACTCCTCAGGAGTTGTGAGTACTATTCCGGTGTACAAATGATGTTGCTTTCTTGTGCACTTGCAAAATTTTGGATGTTCCCGATGTTTCCAAATAAATGTTCAGTGTATTTTCCTACCATCTGAGAGTTGTTGGTCGTTAGTTGTGCCTTTGGTGTGGCCATCATTCCCTCATTGCACAGCCCCAAAGCACTTGCTGGCAATATTGTTACTATTGCGAATGAGGATCAGCAGTAATAGAGAGTTTGTGTATACAACAAGCTGCAGGGACTTGTGCTGTTGAGAAGATGATGTCTCGGAGAGCACCACTTAGCTTAAGTGTATTGCTTAGCCAAAGTGTTTTGCTTAGGCTAAGTGTTCTACTTAGTCTAAGTGATTCACGTAAATTCACTTAGCCTAAGTGGATTTACGAACACTTAGCCTAAGTGAAAATTTGTGAGGGACAAATCACCCTACCCAGAGGAGTACTGAAACTTGACTGCCACTGTGCTACCCAGTTAGGAATTCAGCTTTTTTCAGCGTTCGTCTCCTATTTCCTCAGTTTGCAGTTTCCTCAGTTTGCTCGCTACTTGGATCCATATTATGATGAATACAGTACATGCAATCCAGCCATTGTAGCCAGCTACGGTACCACAGGCAGAGAGTTACATCGATCCGTGACTGCGACAATACCATTGTGCATTGACTAGTCTAAGGATCTAAGAGATGTAAAGTTTGTATTTCCAAATAAGTGAGCAGTTATTGATTATTTCTAGAATAAGCCTGCTAATTGTAAAGCTGAAAGCTGAATGTAAGCTGTATCCCGTCGCACTCCCTACAGCTGAAATGAAGCTGGAGCAAGAAACGATAGGAAGAGTCCCCAGCAAAGTGCTGAGGTAAATTACCATCCCATGAGGAGCTTCGAAGACAGCGAACTGTGGAGCCGGAAGACCCTTAGTGAAAATGTCGGCCCGTTGTTCAGAGTCGGAATATACTTGGCCACGATGCCCTTCACTCCCCGATATTGGACCTGAAGAAGTGGTACTTCAATGCCAAATACTTGTTGCGCGCAGACATTTTGGAACATTCAACAAGAGACAAACCTTGGTTGTCTTCGAACACTGTAGAGCGCACGAGACTGTCAGTAATTACCGGCATATTCAGTTTGCTACCAATTTCTTTGAGCAAAGCTCGCATAGGAAGCAGCTCCCTCATTGACATGCTGAAGGCACATACTCAGCAGCAGTGGAGCTCAAAGTAATGTCAGTCTGTACTTGCTGGACCAGATGATAGGGCACCCAAACAAAGTCAAGACAAATCCAGTGCGAGACTTGACGGACACAGGATCCTGATCATCCTCATATCCATAAATCCGGCGAAGTCAGCATCGACCCAACAATCAAGTCCCTGATCAAGTTTAGGGCTAAAACAAATGCCTTTGTCACTTGTGCCAATCAGATACCGAATGATACGTTTGATTGCTTGAGCATGGGAATGCCTGGGATTGTGACTGAATCGTGCCACCTGGTGCACACTAAATGTGATGTCTGGGCGAGTGTTCGACGCAATATAAAGCAGCATCCCAACTGCAGCTGGGTAGCTCCACTCTTCTTCAAATGGGGCCCCAGTTTGTCAGCTCCGAGAGGATCGGTGGCGGCAGGAGAAAGCTTCTTGCTAGCGTCAGACATACCAGTATATTCGATGACTTTATTGATGAGCCCTTTTTGAGTAAGCTCAACATTGTCTCCCTGTCTTTCAAAATTAATGCCGAGGAATCCAAAAGATGTCACCTTTTTCTTCCATGGTGAGGTCATATCCAAGTTTCTGGAGCTGCCAACATAGGACTCAATCAGATCATTGTCTGGACTGAGCCAGATTTGGTCATCACAATAATTTATACCATGAGTTGATGCTCCTTATGAATAAACAAACATGGGTCTGCTGCCGAGGTTTCGAAACCAAGTTGGATCATCCCGCGACATAGATGCTCATAAAATAATTTGGGTGAATCGGTCTGCCCATAGATGGACTTGTCAAGTTTCAAAAACCAGTCTGTCCTTCATACTCTTTGGTCGATAGTACTTAGGCAATTCCATGTACAGTGGCTGGTCGACAGGCTGAGGGCTTTGACAGAAAGCAAGAGTAAAATCAACTTGTCTCGATTCCCATCCATTGGCAGCTGCAAGAAGAAGAACGGCTCTAACGGTGGGCAACAAAGTGGAGAGTACGCGACCTTCATAGGACTGAAGTCCCTCTGCAGCACCATCTAGATTTGAACTTATTTAATTTGTCCGTCTGGTAACCTCTTAATTCGTTGCACCCATGTTCCAGGAACCGCCTTTAGGTGTGAGGGCATAGAAAACGTGTACGATGTGCCAAGTCCCTTTGCCTTCAAGGCTGGCAATTTCTTGTCCATTGCTGCCCAGAAATGGTCTGCATGTGGTCCCATCAGAGATTCCTTCAGAGAGGGGAGATCAGGGTCTTTGGAAATTTTGGCCTTGAGAGCCAGTGGGCTTTGAAGAATGCCAGGATGAAATGATTCCTGGGTGTTGGTCAAGGTGAATAACCATTCACCTGAGATTGCATCATGTGCCCAAAATTGGAGTAACTCAAAGGTCAAAGCTAAAGCACAACTCAACAGGGATGAAGGACGCGCATATGTCTTCAACTTTGGGTCCATTTTCAGAGTTCAGGCTTCTTGCTGTGGGCTGTTTACTGGGATTACGACGAGGGGGCAGAGATTGGCTCGATGTGGACATCAGTGGTGGGAGTGCTGATGTGGGAGGCTCCTGTCCCAAGAAGAGGTAATTTTGAGTCTGAGGTGGTGGCAGACGATCTGGAATCCCCTGTGTGAAACAGGGGCTGTGCTGGAGACGGAGCTTGAAAATGAGATCATCTCTTTTATCTTTGCTCTTGTCATCCTGCCATAATTTTCTCCCATGTCGAAGCTTCTGAAGATATAGATCGGTGCTGGTTGATGGCCTTTTCCTCTGGAGTAAGCCACTCGTCTGCTAAGGGAGGTGGAGTGTCCTCATCAATAGGGTCTCGAAGCG